TCGAGAACGGGTGGCGATATCGAGATGCGGTTTTCACTAAAATTTAGCAAATTTTAAGGTGACTAAGGGTCTGTGAAGTAAATAGTATCGTTCCATTTAACTTTTCTTCAAAAATCACAAAAATATGTAATCGCTGCAGATAACGTCCTCTAGCTCATTTGTTTTAAAGCAGACGGTCTTACTGAAAATATCTTTAAAAAGAGCATAAAATGCTCTTTCAAACAACACCGAAAACATTCAAATCGGTTGAATGGTCTAGGAGATATTAAAATGTAAACATATGAAAACGCATTGGCCCCCCCCTCCCTTATTATGACAGATATGAGAAATATCGCAAAACAAAAGCGATGCGGTATTATCCAAGCTATTAGATGATGTTGTCAAAGTTATAGCTCATCGTTTAAGTTTCTGAGATAGCGGGAACTTTATGTTTCTCAATGGCAGTTACGCCCCCTAGCGCTCGAATTACGAACTTCAAAATAATTTCTAGCTATTTCTCTTGGTCACTTTGCGTATAAGGATTTTTTTCCCAAACCTCTAGGCCTTACCGTTCTAGAGATACAGCCGCTCCGTACGCTTAACGGGACACCCTGTATATATATATATATATATAATTTGGAGTCCATAGTTCAACCAGCATATACAGTGTGTTTGATTTTAGTTGTCACGACAGATATCTTGATTACTGTTGGAGATATCACAAAATGCATCATGAAAAAAAGATAAAAGTAAAAAGTATCATGAACAATAATACTCCATAAATTTCAAGCAGGGTAGACTTATTGTATTACTCATGATAAAAGAAAAGAAACACTCTCGACCGATTTTGACGACATCGGCAGCCCTAAATATTGTTCTTGATACTTGGGGCGGCTGACATTTTCGAAGTCTGCCGAGATTATTACTACCATAAATTTCAAACAAGACTTATTGTATAAGTACGAAGGCTTTCACGGCCGGTGTGAATTAAACTAAGATTAGAACTAACACTAGAAACTTTTGGGGTTTTGCCGTGCGTCTTTTAATAAAAGGTTTGACGTTTCGGATGCCATGTTGCAACCTTCTTCAGAAACTGGTTCGAAGTGACGAGATCAAAAAAAATCGGTAACTATATATAAGTCGGAAAAACTAATTAATAATCGGTTAACGCTAATTACAAACTAATTAATAACTAATTGCGTCGCGTCCGGTGTGAGGCGGGAAGAGGTCTTCGTGTTCACCACCATCTTCCATGTTCTGCTAAGCTCCCAGCCATCCTCTCTGTTGACGTTATTTTTATGTCGGTGAATCTCTATGGCTTCTCTTGTCAGTCTTTGGTAGTATCTGTTGTCCCTAGCCAGCACCTTTGTTTGTTCGAAGTCTATTCGGTGCCCCTCTGCATGGCAATGTTCCGCAACCGCCGACTGCTGGATCTTCTTCAGCCTTACATCCCTCTCATGCTCCTTGATGCGGCACTCGACGTTGCGTCCAGTTTGGCCAACATAAACCTTCCCACAACTACACGATAGTCGATAGACTCCCGCTCCTTTTAATGGAGTTAGTTTGTCCTTGGCTATCGGGAGTGTGTTCCGAATTTTGCTGACCGTGCCGTACCGCACTACGATGTCGTTCTTCTTGAGGTGCCTAGCAATTCGTTCCGTTACACCTGAAACATAGGGAAGACAGATAAATCCAAGTGGTTTTGTACTTACCGTGTCCTCTTTCTGCTTTCGCTGCTTGATGGCCTGGTTGATGTCCCTCGAAGTGTATCCATTCTTCTGCAGCACGCCTCGTAGAAAGTGTTGCTCCTTCTTCAAGTTCTCTCCTTCACATAGTCTCGCTGCTCGCTGAAATAATGTACGGATCACGGACCTCTTCTGTTGGGGATGATGATGTGAACATGCCTGTAAATACCTGTTGGTATGGGTCTTCTTTCGGTATACACCAAGTTCTATATCTCCATTTGTCGTCCTGGTGACCAACACATCTAGGAAAGGTAGTTTTTTGGCAGTTTCTGTTTCCATGGTGAACTTAATCATAGGATGTTGAGAGTTCAAGTGATCCAAGAACTCTTGGAGCCGTTTTTGACCATGTTGCCATATCACAAACGTGTCATCCACATATCGGAGCCATAGTTTTGGTTTCCACTGGCTCTTCTTCAAAGCGTCCTCTTCGAATAATTCCATGTAGAAATTAGCTATAACTGGCGATAGTGGAGATCCCATGGCTGCCCCTTCGAACTGCTCGTAAAATTCTCCTTTCCAGCTGAAATACGTCGACGATAAGCAATACTCCACCAGATCTGGCACGTATTCTGGTAAACCCTCCGGAATGAGTTTTCGGCGAAGACCCTCTACAGCATCCTTAACTGGTACCCTAGTAAAAAGGGATTCCACATCGAAACTTACCAACATATCCCCAGCATCCAGCTTTACACCTTTTACCGATTCCACAAAATGTGTAGAATCCCTGACATACGATTCCGTGTTACCTGTAAAGGGGGACAGAATCTTTGCAAGATGTTTAGCCAGCTGGTATGTTGGGGAGTTGATGGCGCTGACGATAGGGCGGAGGGGGACGTCTGGTTTGTGAATCTTCGGTAGTCCGTAGATTCTTGGTGGCACAAACAAACCTTTCTGCTGTTCTGCTGGAATTCCTGTGGATTTTATCAGTTCCTTCATTTTTCTAACGATTTTGTCTGTGGGGTCCTTCTTGATCTTCCTGTAGGTGGCTGGGTCCAGTAAGTTCATCATTTTGTCGTCGTATTCTTTCCTGTCCATAACAACGGTGGCATTCCCCTTGTCTGCTGGTAACACGACGATTTCTGATTTTTCTTTTATAGATCGGAGTGCCTTCTTTTCACCAACCGTCAAGTTGGATTTTGGTGGTTTTGCTGACTTCAATATTCTCGCAACTTCTTGTCGGATCTCTTCGGCTTTCAGTGCAGGCATCCCTCGAACAGCTGCTTCCACTTCGCAGATGATTTCCTTCTTTGGGACCTTCTTCGGGGCGATTGCGTAGTTCAATCCTTTGGCGAGTACAGAGGTTTCGTCTTTCGTGAGTGGGACATTCGATCTGTTAATGACGATTGTTTCTACTGGTAAACTATTACCTTTCTTCTTTTGCGACCGACGTTCCCGAAAGGGAAAAAACGACCGGCAAAACCCGAAAGTTTCTAGTGTTAGTTCTAGTTTTAGTTCTAATCTTAGTTTAAGACTTATTGTATTGTTCATATCGTCTAGATATAAATTTGGTCTACATTGGTGTATAGTTGGTTTCTAACCAGCAAATATATATTTGTATGCTGGTTAGAAACCAATGGCAAAATGTACTATTATGAAGAGAGAACAGAATATGATTAAAAACAGATGAAGAAATGCGAGACATACTCCGTCAAATATGAATTGACCAACCTGAACATTTAAGGATAACCTAAAATGTTACTATTTATATATACAACGATGTTACTGCTATTAATTTGATATAAACATTTTGAAATTGATTTTAGGGTGCTGCATTTACCGGGGATACCTTGCTTATCAGGGGTTGTGGTCGAACCGATTTTCAAGAAGGAAACTCTGCGAGTCTTTACAACAACGTCCACGATAAAATCTTTACAATGCCCGATTCGACCACGTTGTATCCCGCTCACGATTATAAAGGGATGACCAGCACAACTGTTGACGAAGAGAAAAGATTAAATCCGCGATTAACGAAGAGTTTGGACGAGTTCATCAAAATTATGGACAATTTGAACCTTGCTTACCCAAAAATGATCGGTACGAAACACAAAAAAAAATTTAATTATTCATTAATTATTTCTTAAAATTGCAGATAAAGCTTTACCAGCAAATAAAGTTTGTGGACTTTACGAGATTCCTACAAAATAATTTAAGAAAATAAAACATTTATCTTATTTTATCAGGTATATAAGGCATTCAGGGTTTTATTATAATAAATGATTTATTATGAACAAGTATTTGTGATGTAAATTTATATTTTATTTTTATTTACACATTTATTAAATAAAAATTTATAAGCCAGTAAGACTTTTATGATTTCCCAGAAAAACTTTTTAACGAATCCTTTCAAAAGATTTCAACTTCTTCAAGATAAAACAAGACGAATTAACTACCTAATATTTAAATCCTTTCAGTTTCTCCTTAATTCTGAAACACGATACTTGTCTTTCTGCGAGCACAATAAACTTTTCAAAGCAGCTTTTAGCTACTATAGATAGCCAAGTTAATTTGAAAACGGTATAAAAGACTCAGTTTTGGTTTAAATCTGGAAATAATACCACACGTGAAAACATACGCAGCTTATAAGGCATAAAAACATTGGGAGAAAGCCATATAAATGCATTAAAAGGCCGTCTACCGGTGTGGGTGTGGGTTTGTATACATTTTCGCATGCAAAATAGGAAAGTCATTACGCGAGGAGGCACAAAGGGGTTGGTACGCGCGATTTTCTGAATTTCCCTTCCATCTGCATAACAATAACGCTCGAATACTCCACATAAATGAAGTACTAGTCCTTTGGAACTTTAAAACCACGTGTTGATGTTTAAAAAAAATTAACCAATTATTTTTAAAAAAAGATTTTCTTTTTTCTCACTTTATTTCGTTTTAATATGAAATCGAACTTTGACTGCGAAATATAAATAAACAAATTGGAATCGTTAAAACGTATTTCATCGAATTTCAACGTAAAATATATTTTATTAAACCCCATAAAGTCATAAATAACCGCTTGTGGGGTTAAAATATTCAAACGCACGCGTTCAATTTATTTCGTATACAACCAAAAAGCGAGTTTTCAATTATAATCATCATCAATAGATGGCGATTTTCGTATGACGAATACATTTCGTCACGTTCGACTCGATTCCTCTTTGACGATGACCGGAATGAAGTCGTCCATAACGCAGGAATGAGGACATTCATATGCGGGATGGGTCTTGACGTCCTAGAAATGCTTTTTGAACACAAAAGTTCTTTTCGAGGACCACTGGCTTAGGAAAGATCGATTGGAGCTTTATCAGTGTTCAAAGATACTTGAAACGTTCTGATTCGTTCGTTTTGGTTAAAACTAAAATCGAATTTGAATTTATTTAACATAATTGGCTTTATTCCGGTGTCATTAGTTTGCTCGAGGCTATATCAATAAATAATTTCATCGTACGTGTACATATAATATTATTTCCTATAACCTATAATACGAAAATCAATATTCATTGCATATTCCATTATAATCGAATGTAATAACAACATTTTTTTCAATAATTTTTGTTTAAAATTATATAAAATATTGAAATTAATTGTTATTTAAAAAATATTTATATGAAATCCGATTATTTGTTTATTTCAATTCAAAATATCAAAAACTAATCCATATTTTCAGTTATATTAATAAATGTAAACAAGAGCAGTTCAAGCACTCTTGAATTGATTATGCGATTGAAACTTTTTAATCGATTGATTCACTTCTAAATAGAATTATATTGTATAAAAGAATCAAATGGTATTAACACATTTTTGAAAAGACAAAGAATTAAGATTAAGAATATTATTGGGTTGGGTTGGGTCAATTCGAGCCATTTTGACACACACCATCAAGTTTTTTCTATTTTTTGATACTTTAGAAACTTTAGACACCAATCGGCTTTATCCATCATTTTTTGTATTTTATGGAAAACACTTTCCTTAACACTATTAAGTGGCGCATTTCTTTTTAATACATAATATTATCCTTCAAATCAATTCGAGCCATTTTGACACACACCGTCAAGTTTTTTCTATTTTTTGATACTTTAGAAACACCTTCAAAAAACATTATAATCAATACTATTAATTCTTCTATCTTGCTTAAGTGATCTAGGGATGTTTTTAGTCGATTCGAACCTTTTTGATTGACACCAATCGGCTGTATCCATCATTTTTTGTATTTTATGGAAAACACTTTCCTTAACACTATTAAGTGGCGCATTTCTTTTTAATACATAATATTATCCTTCAAATCAATTCGAGCCATTTTGACACACACCGTCAAGTTTTTTCTATTTTTTGATACTTTAGAAACACCTTCAAAAAACATTATAATCAATACTATTAATTCTTTTATCTTGCTTAAGTGTTCTAGGGATGTTTTTAGTCGATTCGAACCTTTTTGATTGACACCAATCGGCTTTATCCATCATTTTTTGTATTTTATGGAAAACACTTTCCTTAACACTATTAAGTGGCGCATTTCTTTTTAATACATAAAATTATCCTTCAAATCAATTCGAGCCATTTTGACACACACCGTCAAGTTTTTTCTATTTTTTGATACTTTAGAAACACCTTCAAAAAACATTATAATCAATACTATTAATTCTTTTATCTTACTTAAGTGTTCTAGTGATGTTTTTAATCGATTCGAACCTTTTTGATTGACACCAATCGGCTTTATCCATCATTTTTTGTATTTTATGGAAAACACTTTCCTTAACACTATTAAGTTGCGCATTTCCTTTTTAATACATAAAATTATCCTTCCAATCAATTCGAGCCATTTTGACACATACCAATAAGTTTTTTTTATTTGCCGATTCCTTAAAAACAAATTTTTTGATACTTTAGAAACACCTTCAAAAAACATTATAATCAATACTATTAATTCTTTTATCTTGCTTAAGTGATCTAGGGATGTTTTTAGTCAATTCGAACCTTTTTGATTGACACCAATCGGCTTTATTCATCATTTTTTGTATTTTATGGAAAACACTTTCCTTAACACTATTAAGTTGCGCATTTCTTTTTAATACATAAAATTATCCTTCAAATCAATTCGAGCCATTTTGACGCACACCAATAAGTTTTTTTTATTTGCCGATTCCTTAAAAACAGTTTCAAAAACTACCAAAATTAATTTTTTAAGCTATCCAGATTGGATGCTCAGCTCTAGATAGTGAAATATATATTATACAGGTGTTCCGGTGACTCGGGGAATAAAATTAACCTCATATGCAAAAATGATGACGATTGGTGATAAAAATTTATTATAAAAGTCTTCAAATGGCCAAGATATGGGCCATCAAAGTTCAAAAATTTTAACACATTTTTCTAAATATTTTCAATACCATTTATGGTAGAGCGTTGAAATTTGGTACAGGGTAAACAAATATCAAGCAAAATCATTGAACCAATTTTGACTTTGATCGGGCGGCGGCAACCATGCTATACAGG